GTGTATTTTGGAGTCAGCGTACACAGATAGAACTTTAAAACAATTCTTTTATTTATAAAAAATTTTATTAATGATAGAGGTAATTCTCTTTTGACTTTTTGTTCTATAGGATCTAAAAGTTAAACTTTACATTTAAGGGAATATTTAAGACTTTTAAATTTTGAATGAAATTACAAAAGGCTGTTTTTGTTAGATAACTTTAAAAGGATATATCTATATATGATATATCTGTATGTAGAGTTAAGTCTCTTCAAATAAAAATTATAACAAAATCAAGAAATTATCTTAATATTTTATACTATAATTCGATCTAATGGCTACCCACAGATTGGTCTTTTTCTGCATACAAAATATAGTAATGTCATTGAATTTAGTAAGTATAACATACATAGTTATGGAGATAAGTTATATTAAATAGACTATAATGTATTTATATAATGTATATTATGTAATATACTGTGTTATATATAATATACTATATATAGAGAGACAAATATATGGTACATTATCCTTAGTAATAAGGGAATGGAAAATATGGAAAAATGAAATGAAAGAGATCTTAAATCTCAAATAAGTATTTCAACCTTTATCAGAATTTATAGTAAAATAGGTAGATTTGTTTTAAGATAAGTAAGAAAGGTAAATTATCTGTAACCTGGGTTATCAAGAGCTAACTTTATAGTCCAATTACATGGTAAAGGAATATTTTTGTGAAATTGAGATGTTTATTTTATCTATATCTACCTAAATGTAATTAACTTTTGTATGAATTTTGAAGCCTTTGATTGCCTATTTTGTTTTTAAGCCTTGCCTTTCTGTTTAATATTTGAGAAAGTTAATCCTTTAAAATAGGACTATCCATATGTTCGTTTTCCTGTGTATTTTAAAGGACTGTTATCAGAGTACAGAAATTAACAAACTCAGTATTTAAAAAGTGGCTATATCTCTTAGAAAATAAAAGTTTGTGCCCTAAGCGATGCTTACTACCTTATAATAAAGAGAAAGGCCTACTACTTAAAATAGAAGGGGAATTTATGGAATTTTTGGAAGTTGTCCATTTCAGTCTTTGTTTTGATTTGGTAATTAAGTCATTGAAGTTATTTATATGCCTCCTAATAATTCTGTTTATATGTTCTGATAATAAATAACTTAAATGTGGTTAAAAAATTGTTAAAGTTGCAGTGGAGGTACTTTTACTTCTTGGACATGGTTAGCCTGTGATACACTTGTAAAAGATTAAAACTTAAATATCTCCCTACTAAGCCCCAAATGAGCATTTCTGGCTTTGTGGCATCTGATCATTTCATTCAAGTATGGATTTACTGGAAAATTTCCTTTTAGCATGTTTTTTCCTACATATTGACAAATTTTTAAATGTGGGTTAAACTCTTGGTGTGAACCTACAAATCTGCTTTGTAGTCACTCTCCTCAGCTCACTGTTTTTCCTAGATTCTGCAGCAAATATGGTATGTAAGAACATTCACTGTTCTGAGGCCCTGATTTAAAAGAAATAAATAAATGAGGTCTGCTACCTGGGCGCCCCTGATTTAAAGTCCCAAACTGTGAGTCTATCTTCAGTTGAAGTCATAGGCTTAAGATTTTGATCTAATTTGTGTTTAACTTTCTTAAGTGTGATGGAACATAAGTCCATTAAAACCAAAGGGGAATGATTTCTCTTCAAAGGCACTTGGCATGTTGTTCTGGCATAAACATAACATTGAGAAGTCCCTTGCTGATCTCCCTAATTTCACTCCCTTTCCGGATGAGTGGACAGTGGAAGATAAAGTCCTATTTGAACAAGCCTTTAGTTTTCATGGAAAGAGCTTTCACAGGATTCAGCAAATGGTATGGTAATTTTAATCTTACTGTGGTTCATATGTGAATGATATCTTAAGCTACTATTGAACACGTCCTAATTATTAAATACAAAAACATTCTTCAATTTAATTTTAAAAACTATTTAGAAACAGGTATATTTGTATACAATCCTATTTTCTGCAACCACTCTTACATGACAGTTATGTGCTATTGCATTACAGTAAATTAGCTTTTATTTTGACTTACATAACATGTAATAATACACATGTAATAGAGTTATTTCGTATGTTGTTTCAGGAAAAAAAAAATTTCAACTTTATTTTTAAATGTTTCACTCTTTGACACGAGGATTTTTTCCAACTTATATATTTTTGGATATGAAAGTCCTGTTTTAAAAAGTCCTTATTAGGCTGGGCGCGGTGGCTCATGACCGTAATCCAGCACTTTCGGAGGCTGAGGCAGGCGGATCATGAGGTCAGGAGATCGAGACCATCCTGGCTAACACGGTGAAACCCTGTCTCTACTAAAAGTACAAAAAATTAGCCGGGTGTGGTGGCACGCGCCTGTCGCCCAGCTATTTGGGAGGCTGAGGCAGAAGAATAGCTTGAACCCAGGAAGCAGAGGTTGCAGTGAACCGAGATCACACCACTGCATTCCAGCCTGGGTAACAGAGCGAGACTCTGTCTCAAAAAACAAAAATTATTTCAATATTGTCCAGATGGTGCTGCTTTTTTTTTTTTTTTTTTTTTTTTTTTTTTTTTGTGTGTGTGTGTGGAGAGAAACTGCTCTGTATTTCTAGTTCCTACATTTTTAGTATTGTGTCAAAATAATGTAAATCTGAGAAGTTCCTGCATTAAACTATTTTAACCTCAGTAGATGAAAATTAGATAATGTTTGCAAATATATCTAGGTGTCTTCCATAATGAAAGAGAACATTTTTGGTGGGGAAGTTGCATCCTTGTTTTCACTATGACAGATCAGTCAGTGCATGATCATCAGTCATTTTAATACTCAGACTTCATTTGATGGCCAAAGCCTGTTTGCATTATTTACCATTTTAAGACTGGATTTAAAACAAAGTTATTCAAAAAAATGTATTGTTAAGAATTGAATAGCTTTTCTTTAAAACATCTTGCTAAATGAAAGAAGCAAGACACAAAGGTCACATATTGTATGATTCCCTTTATGTAAAATGTCCAGAATAGGCAAATCCATAGAGAGAGAAGGCAGATTAGTGGTTGCCAGGGACTGGTGGAGGGGTAGAATAGGGAATGATTGCTAATGGGTACAGGATTTCTTTTTGAGATTATGAAAATGTTCTGGAATTAGATAGAGATGGTGATTGTACAAGTTAGTGAATTTGCCAAAACCACTAATATGTACACTTGAAATAGTGAATTTTATTTTATGTGAATTATATATATTGAATACTAACATGACTGCGCTGGGAACTTCTGGGGACATTCTCACCAAATTAGTTTGTGACCTCTTCCCCTCCTCTTCCAGAACAAATAGGAATATTCATTCACAAATGTCAGTGACATTGATATGGGATACTGACTGTAGTAGTACTTTTTAGCTCTATAATTCATAAAGGTACCCATGAAATGTTTTTTAATTATGCCTTTACTAAATAGTAAAGAATATCATCAAAATTATTATTCATTTTGTTTATGAATTAAACTTGCTGATATTAACATGATTTTTTTTAAGCTTCCAGATAAGACAATTGCAAGCCTTGTAAAATATTACTATTCTTGGAAAAAAACTCGCTCTAGGACAAGTTTGATGGATCGCCAGGCTCGTAAACTAGCTAATAGACATAATCAGGGTGACAGGTAGGTTGGTTACCTTCATATAGTTACATTGTTAGGGACACTGCATTGGGTTGCTTACATTTCCTAAGGCAGAAAATTTATGACAACACATTGTAAATATTCCTTATTCTTACGTTTATGTTTCTACTCTGACAAGAAGAGCCAAGTGGTTAGAAGTTTTAATATTAAGACCTCTTTCACCTCTTTTAATTTTAATCACAAATGCTTCCTTTTAGTATTGATATTTAATACACATTTAGAATATATTAAAGAATATGTTCTATGAAAGAAACTCTTTTTATAATTACCTGAGTAACTGAAATCCTTATTATTGAGGCTAAATCTTTTGATAGTATAAAGTCATTTTGTTTCATTTTGTCTGTATTCTGCAATTGGAGGACTGAAATTTAAGTATTACATCAATTTGTATGTGTTCCCATTTCCCAAATGGTATTTCTTTTTAAATCCCTTTCCCACTGGGTCTCTGTTTTTGAGCTAGAAGTGTTTGCTAAAAGGATTCTGTATACCCAATGAGATAAATGTTTCTGAACACTACAGAAATCTGAATTAAAAGCTCATCTTCTCAAGTACAACTCTTATTCTGTTAAATAATATTTAGTAAAATTATTAAGATATATATATATTACAGTTTGATAAGAGCACTAGAATACAATAAAAAGAAGGGAATTGGTTGGGTGCAGTGGCTCACACCTGTAATCTCCGCACTTTGGGAGGCTGAGGTGGGCAGATCACTTGAGGTCAGGAGTTTAAGACCAGCCTGGCCAACATGGTGAAACCCCATCTCTACTAAAAATACAAAAATTAGCTGGGTGTGGTGGTGGGCACCTGTAATCCCAGCTACTTGGGAGGCTGAGGTGAGAGAATCGCTTGAACCCAGGAGGCAAAGGTTGCAGTGAGCTGAGATCGTGCCATTGCACTCCAGCCTAGGCAATAAGAGTGAAACACTGTCTTAAAAAAAAAAGGGGGGGAATTAAGTGTACTAATTTTTGTTTCTTCTCAGTGATGATGATGTAGAAGAAACACATCCAATGGATGGGAATGATAGTGATTATGATCCCAAAAAAGAAGCCAAAAAAGAGGTAATGATGATCATTAGAAGTGCTTGTGATTGTTCTACAAATCTGCTGAAAAAGAATGAACAGTACTTCATATTAAGAAAAACTTTTTAATGTAATGTTTTATGAGATAGTAAATTTCAGTGTTAATTAGCAATACAGTCGTACCTAGAACCCCAGTTAACCAAGCTGTTGAAAGTTGAAAATACCATTGAAACTGGAAAAAGATCTGAGTTTGTTTAAACTTAGCATTTACTAGATATGTGACCTCATCCAATTTAGTGACTCATTCTTCTGAAGAAACTCAATGCCATGGGTCATTCATCACTTTAAACTCTTTCATCAATGTTATTTTTTTTTTGTGTGTGTGTGTGTGGTGTTTTTTTTTTTTTTTTTTTTTTTGAGACGGAGTCTTCGCTCTGGCCGGCCCAGGCTGGAGTGCAGTGGCGGATCTCAGCTCCACTGCAAGCTCGCCTCCCAGGTCATGCCATTCTCCTGCCTCAGCCTCCGAAGTGCTGGGACTACAGGCGCCCGCGCACCTCGGCCCGGCTAGTTTTTTGTATTTTTTAGTAGAGATCCGGGTTTTCACCGTGCAGCGCGGATGGTCTCGATCTCCTGACCTCGTGATCCGCCCGTCTCAGCCTCCCAAAGTGCTGGGATTACAGGCTTGAGCCACCGCGCCCGGCCTCATCAATGTTATTTTAAAAATGTTCATTCTACCTCAATTTTGTGTTTTACTAATTTTCTTTCTACGGCTAAATATTGTCAGATTCCTTAATTCCTTCATTTTCTTCCCCAAGTCTGCCTTACCTTTGTTTCCCAGAGCCATGGTCTCAATGATCAACTATGAGAATCTCTTTCTTTCCCATTTCCCTATTCCTTTAACTCCCTACTTCCCTTATCCTTCTGCTATACCATCCCTAGCCCTGTAAACTCATGATGCTGGATTAGTTGCTATTCATGGTCTAAGAGACACAGCAGGAGAAAATGATACAATTATGTAAATTGTAAATTGTTGCTACTATGGAAAACAGTTTCCAGTCTCACTGTAGTCCTTAAGTGCCTCTTAGTTTTTAATCTCTAAGTCCCAGGTTTTTTTCTTGGTAAAACGAAAATAATAGGATTGTTTTGAGAATCAAAGAGGTAATATGTATAAAAGCACTTTTTATAGTACCCAGGACATAGAAATCTTGTATACAAGTTGCTGTTGTTTTATCTGGGCAGCTGTTTTGAACATTCCTTCTCTTCCTACACATTGCCTAATACCCCTCCACCCCTAAAAACACTTGGCAGATAGCTTCATCCATGTCACGGAGAAAGTGTCAGACAGAAGTTGTCTTAAATTCCAGCCCTTCTTCTAAGTTCTATGCTACCATGCTGGCCTTTCCACTGTGGCGTATTAGTACTTAGAACATATTACAGTTACTGTATTTTGCCCACTAAGCTGCGAACTCTTTGAAGTCAGGGACTGAGTTATTCATTTGTATCCCCTGACATTTGCACAGTACCTGGTATATGGCAAATATTCAGTAAATGTTTATTCAATAAATGGTTGTTGAATGAACAGTCTTGGGACTTAATATCCCTCTCTCATAGTAAGAAAGATCTTTTTTCTTTTCCTATACAATTTCACTGCTTGTGTGATCCTATCCATCCCTTCGTGTCTACTCTGAGACGTTCTCCACCAGTTATCCCTTGTCTTTCCCATATTTTCAACCTTTCAGTGCAGCCAAAAGTATGTTCAAGTCTTCCATTTAAAAGTATATCTCTGGCTGGGCGCAGTGGCTCACGCCTGTTGTAATCCCAGCACTTTGGGAGGCCGAGGCGGGCAGATCACCTGAGGTCAGGAGTTTGAGACCAGCCTGACCAACATGGAGAAACCCTGTCTGTACTAAAAATACAAAATTAGCCGGGCATGCTGGCACATGCCTGTAATCCCAGTTACTCGGGAGGTCGAGGCAGGAGAATCGCTTGAACCTGGGAGGCGGAGGTTGCAGTGAGCCGAGATTGCAACATACTCCAGCCTGGGTAACAAGAGTGAAACTCCATCTCAAAAAAAAAAAAAAAAAGTGTATGTCTTAACCACTCTAGAAAACAAATCACCCTTCTTAGCACTACTTTACTTTTGAGTTTGCTTTAGTCAAGCTGCTTCTGTCCCACCACTTCACTGAAACTGCTGACAGGTTACCAATGGTTTCCAAAATGCAACATCCAGTGATCAGTTGTATTCTACTCGTGTTTTCTGTATCAAATTACTGACCCCTCCCTTCTTGAAAAGATGTCTTTGACTTTTGTAATGCCATTCTGATTCCTGTCTACCTTTTTAACCATTGTGTCACAATTTTAGTGGCATCTTTTTCTTTCTTACTCTATTCTTTTATCATTATTCTTTTTAATTCTGTCTCTCAAAAAACTGTGAGATTTGATCTCTCTGTTCTTTGTGTGATTGCCGCCTTCTTAGGTTCTCATCTCTTCGCTGAATTATCCTAACAGTTTTCTCTCTGATTATCTCTATGCCTCCCTTTTTCAGATTCTCCATACCACCCTTTCCAGTCCATTGGCTACCCTGTTGCCAAAGGAATCCTTTGTAAAGTTGCCAATTCACTGCTTGGTGAATCCTTCCATGGTGTTGTCTATAGGATAAAATACAAACTCTCCAGTTATGCATTCCCTACCCTTCCCCATTTATATCAGAGTACTAACAGTGTTTTAGATATGTCTTTTAGTTCCCTGGCTTTTGTCCTATGATTATGTTGGTCCCTTTTTTTCTGGAATTCCTTTCTTCCCAAATCTGCCTAGGAAATTCCTCACAACTCTACAAGATGTAGCTTCTCTATGAAATCTTGTGCCTTATCTTTAGTTGATAACCTCCTTATTTCTCCTTAAATCTATTGCAGTACTAATTCTACTGAGTGGTAGTTGTTTACTCATAGTTTCCTCTTCCTGCCTTCCTGTCTGTGTGGTGAGCTCTTTAAGAGCAAGAATATATTTTAACTATTTTCCACTCCCAGGGGCTGATACATAGTAAGCATTTAGTAAAATTTTAATGAATGAGAATACATACTATATGCTCTTTATTATGATACAAACCTGAAAACTTAGGAATTTGCTACCTAGAAAGTATGTGTGTGTGTGTATATATATATATATATACACACATGGAATATATAGTTTTGCCCAACTATGCAAGATGATACATACTCATTTGGTCTTTTGCTCATGATCTCATCTTACCAGAAAATAAATAATATGAGGGAAGTATAAGTTAAAAAGTTTTAAGAGGATATTGCAGAGGTGTGGTCCAAGACTAGCACTGTGTGTCAGCAGCTTCATTCATTTCTCCTCTCATTCCAAACAATAAGGTTACCAGGCAGGGAAAGAAACTACATTATTGCTTTTAATACAGATCTTTGTAGCTGCTTCTGCGTGTTGTTAACATATTACATAGAAACTTAATTTTAACTTTTAAAAATTGTGAACTATATATATTGTAGAGTATGTACAGTTTAAAGAAAAATGATAGATACCAGTGTATCTACCACTGAGCTGAAGAAACAGGACTTCTGTTTGTGTTTCCTCAATTGGATATTCTTTTTTGTTTGTTTGTTTTTGAGAGGGAGTCTCACTTTGTCCCCCAGGCTAGAGTGCAGTGGCGTGATCTTGGCTCCCTGCAGCTTCCACCTGGGCTCAAGCAATTCTCCTGCCCCAGCCTCCCGAGTAGCTGGGATTATAGGCATGTGTCACCATGCCTGACTAATTTTTGTATTTTAAGTAGAAATGGGGTTTCGCCATTTTGGCTAGACTGGTCTCGAACTCCTGACCTTAGGTGATTGGCCTGCCTCAGCTTCCCAAAGTGCTGGGATTATAGGCGTGAGCCACCATGGCCGGCCTCAATTGCACATTCTCACCTTCTCTCTAGAGGGAGCCAGTATAATGAAATTTATTAATTATTCACTTCTTTCTTTATAGTTTTATCACGTATGTATATTATCACATATAATGATGATTATCATTCAGTTTCATTTATTTCATACTTTATTTAAATGGAATCATATTTATGTATTCTTCAGTACCTGCCTTTTGTTATTATTTTTGCGATTCATTTTTATTGCTATATTATAGTGTTCCATTGTATACATATACTGCAACTTATTCACTCTCCAATTAATAAACTTAATTTCCAGCTTTTTATTATGCACACTGCTGATATGAACATGTTCTGGATACACATGTCTTAGAGTTCCTTTGGTACAATAGTTCTCAGCTAGGTTTAGCACTGACCCCATAGGGGACATTTAGAAATTGTGGAGGTGTTTTCATTGTTACAGTGATTGTGGGGCATTTCAGTTGTTGAGTGGGTAGGAGAAACAGATGACAACTATACTGAAATGCAAAGCACAGATTGTTTCACCAAAATACCAACAGTGATTTATTGAGTAACAGTGTCCCAGGATTCTTTGGAATGGAGTCACTCTATTTTAGGGAATAGCCACATTAAACTTTCCTAGGTAATGGCAAATTGTTTTCTATAGCTGATATACCTCCAGTAGGCTATGAGAGTACCCATTGTCTACTTTCTTGCCAATGCTTGATCAGACTTTTAAAATGTTCCAAATCTGGCAGTATGAGATGGCATTTCATTGTGTCCTCAGTTCCATTCATAGGTAACTACTGAGGCTATGTGTTTTTCTCTCTATTAGCTGTTGTTACATCTTTTTAAAAGTGCTTTGTTTGTGGAATTTTTTGTTTTGTTTTTTTTTTTGGGACAGAATCTTGCTTGTTGCCCAAGCTAGTGTGCAGTGGTGTGATCATAGCCACTGCAGCTTCAAACTTGTGGACTCAAATGATCCGCCTGCTTCATCCTCCCAAGTAGCTGGGATTGCAGACGTGAGCCAGCATGCCTGGCTTGTAGTTTTTTATTTTTTTCACCTATTTTTCCACTTGATAGTTGTCTTTTTCTTGCAGATTGAATGTAAAGTTTTTTCTTATTGAATTCTTTGTATATTCTGGATATGAGTCCTTTGGTTAACAGCAAAGATCTTTTACCAGTTTGCGGTTTGTCTTTTTACTCTCTACAGGGAAGTAAACAGCTATTTCATCAAAAGCATATAAATTTTAAATTTATTATTTATTTATTTATTTGAGACAGAGTCTTGCTCTGTCGCCCAGGCTGGAGTGCAGTGGTGCGATCTCAGCTCACTGCAAGGTCCGCCTGCCGTGCTGAGTAGCTGGCACTACAGGCGCAGGCCACCATGAGCCACCCACCGCGCCCGCCAATTTTAATTTATTATTTATTTATTTTTTAAATTTTATTTTTATTTTATTGTTTTATTTTTTGAGACGCGAGTTCTCCGCTCTGTCGCCCAGGCTGGAGTGGCAAGTGGCCGAGATAATCTCAGCTCACTGCAAGCTCCGCCTTCTGGGTTATGCTCATTCCTCCCTGCCAGCCACTCCCGAGTAGCCTGGGACTACAGGCGGCTAGTTTTTTGTATTTTTTAGTAGAGACAGGGTTTTGACCGTGTTAGCCAGGAGGGTCTCGATCTCCTGACCTCATGATCCGCCTGTCTCGGTCCCCAAAAGTGCTGGGAATTACAGGCTTGAGCCACCCGCCGCCCGGCCCAATTTTAAATTTAAATTCCAGTATTCTTTTACATTTTCTTTTGAAAGTTTTAAACTTTTTCTCCTGGAAGTCCTTTGCTGTAGCAGAAAATAGTTCATGTTGTTAATGTAGAATCTTTATTTTTTTATTATATCTTACAGTTGGGAAGTCTGTTTTGTCACCCCAGTGGCTGGTGGTTGCAGTGACACAATCATAGTCACTGCTGCACAAATTCCTGGGCTCAAGCCATGCTCTTGGCCTCACTAAGTAGCTGGGACTACAGCATGCAACAACTCACACCAGTAATTTTTTTTTTTTTTTTT